ATGCAGAGCATGTTCGGCCGACCCGAAGCCACAGGAAGCAAGCCGATGTACGGCTGATTTCAGCCGATGCACGGCTGAAATTAGCCATACCAGCCTTAAGTGAATAGCCGAACAGTGTTCGGCTCACTTCACTTCAGATCGGTCATTCACTCGGCTGCCCTCGGCAGCTTCGTGAATAGACCCCTAAGTGCTTTTCAGCATAACACTGAACATGTTTACAGAAAAAGGCTACAGCGATGACCTCATCAATGTATTGCTTATTTTTCTTTGCCCTGTCACAGACTGGGGAAAGGGGGGGGGTGATTGAAGAAGCAATTGTCCCTATAGTCACACATCACATGGGGGAGTATCATTACCATGATTTTATGGGCCGGGGTATTAAACTCTGCAAACAGAAGATTTCTCCAGCTTTACAAGCACCGTAGGATATATGGAATCCTAAGGTTGTGGGGAGTTTTTTTACCTGGAGGCCTGCTTTAGCTTTTTTTCCTTTGTGATTTTGCTATATAACAAATATAGACAGACATGACCATAACACATAAAAGACGTCTGATCCTCTCCTCCTATAGACTTATTGCATACAGGCTAAACTCCCACACGTCCACTCCCACAGTCAATTTATTAAAAGATGGGACTCCTGGACACAATACCTGTGATATTACTGCAGTTTGACTCATACTTTTCTTTTTTCTTGCCCTTCAATGCACTTATTCATGGTTTGTTCTTCTCCTTCCTTCGTACCTTTACCTTTCCTACCTCCCTCCTATACTATCTGTCTCCTATACCCTTCTCCTACCTACTTCAACATCATATTTCCTAGATTCTCCCTACTCTTCTGACTACAGTCTCATACTTATCTATCATTGATTACAAAAGGATGTACTGGTACTCAATATTTTTTTTTTTGCTTTCTATGAACATTAGTATTTGCCCTGTTTGACATTGCTATGCAGTAATTTTGGTCTACTGTGTTCAGAAATGTTCTGTCCAATTTTGGATATTAAAGGAGAACTATGGGATCAGGGCTTTTCTCCATAGTTCTCCTTAGGGTAACGGGATGACACAAACTAGCGTCCTCCCGTTACCCTAAGCTGAGTATACCGTGAACTACAGCTCGCGGTATACTGAGACGCCACAGCCGGAGCGGATCCCGACATTGATGTCGAGATCTGCCCAGCTGCATGAGTGACAGCTGGCTCTGCCTATCTAGAGGCAGAGCCATCTGTACCCGCCCCCTTCTCCCATCCGTTCCGCCAGTCAGCGAACGCCAAGAGGTGAGCGAACGCCGGTATCTGTTCGCTCACCTCCCGATCTACTGAGCCGACCTGTGACAGTCTCATTGTCACAGGTCGGCTAGAACTATGAGGTGAGTGGAAATCACTCATCCCATAGTTCTCCTTTAAGGGTGTTTTATATTTCTTATATTTCAAGAAAAACTTAAAGTTTTAAAAAAAGAAATCTGATCCTTAAATGCTTTTATAGCTGGAATTGAACAGAACTTTCTCACCCAAGTGGTGGTTTTCAAAAAAGAGCTAGAGTTAAGTGATCATCTGCTAGTGCTAACATTTCTAAACTGTATCATATTTGAGTCCTATATAAATACACAACTTGTGGTTACAACTGTAAACACCACAAACATGTATGATTCCATAGTGTAAAAATAAATATCCATAACATACATACCTCCAAATAAACAACCCAAGGCATCACCAGGGTAGCCACCAAAAGGTCAGCTACGGCAAGGCTGACTATTAGGTAATTGGTGGTGGTCTGTAAAGCTTTTTCCCGGGAAACAGCCATGCATACCAAAACATTTCCAAAGACAATGACAAAGATAAGGAGAGTAAGTAGCATGGCATAATAATTGTATTCTGTCTTCTGTCCAATGTCTGTTCCATTGGTGCCATTGTTGAATTCATCATTGTACATGGACAAATTCCTTAGATCCATGAAGGTAAGAAGGCCCCTCTGAAAGTGAGTCCTGTAAAACAGAAGGAAAACAGTTTGTACTGAGTATTGCCTCAATCATTTTTCCTTAATGCCCTGCTGACAAATTAAAAAAATCTCTTCATAGTAATACAGCTACATTCCTTTCTTTTACAAACATTGTCTTATTTTTCCCCAAATGGTATATCATACATTTATTATGACTTCCTAAAGCTTTCCAAAGCTCATACTAAGCAGTTGATTTACTCCCTGCAGTTTAGAGCTGGCATGGAACACTGCAGCTGTTCCATTCTGGTTCTGTTCTGAGTGCTGAGTGATCATGTGAACACCGATAACAACCGTTATCAACCAAACACGAGCAACGTGTCACATTTTCACGCCGTTATGGCGCGTTTTTATGTATTTACGTACGTGCGCGTCATGTAGCATGCGCCATAGGCTACACGCCGCTCTAATAGCGGCATGCAAGTCTCTAAAAGCATATTTCCACTAATGCCATATATGGAAAAATCATGCACATGTTGCATATATAATGCTGCTTCACAGTTTAGACAAAAATGGTTAGCTCATGCATTTACATTCCTGCATTCATCAACGCAAGCAACACAACGTAGAGCTAATTTACACAAGGTTTGACTTTTTAAAGAGCATCTAGAACCAGGCACTGCATATTTTGGTCAAACCAAAAAAGTTCTAGTTTTATATAGATAATGGGGAAGGATACCAATTTCTGTAAAGTTGTTGCTCTATCTGGGGCTGCAATAGAGAGATAGGAAGTGAGGGAAATCTACAAAAGGGACACCATCAGAAAAAAATAAAAGAGGGGTTCTAACCTTCCCTACTCTACTAAACAAAAGCATTTTCCATGTGTGCTGCTGCTAGAAGGTGACCCTGATTTCCTGACTGGGACATTTTTTTTCTACAGGACAGAATGTAAGGAGAAATCTAGTGCAGCCCCAGATGGCAGCAACAACTCATCAGATGAACGTAGAAAGCTAATATAAGAAATAGTTCTTGTTCTTTTATGAACAATATTTAAAACTAGTGAAATTAAGGATTGTTTTATGCTGGCCTGTAGTTCAGTTTTAATGGAATACTCTTAGATCAATAATCATATTTTTGAGCACGTTGCTCATAAATGTCCTTGTGAATCAGACCCAAAATTAAAAATATATAGTTATGTAATAAACCACAAACATATTTGTGCTATTGATATACATTTATGAAATTAAATTTTGCAAGAAGCCACTCTTGTAGAAACAGCCAACACACTTGTCTTAGTAGCATGTGAATGTGAATCTATGCATTTATTAATATTTTTTCAGTCAAACACATTAGTACTATTACAGTAATGAGGAGCTAAATGTCATCAAAACAAGAACACAGAAGTACCCTCAAGGAGCAATGAAAACATATTTATAGTTACCACCATGTGTTATACTAATGACAATAGCTGAAACCTTGCTAATGGGCATATTCTATTTTATATTTTACTTAAGAAGAGTTCATTTTTAAACTATATATAATATTTGTAAACATAGATACCCTCAAAAAAGCTGAACAAACATGATAGGGAATGTTAATTAACTCCCTGTAGCTATAAAAAATATGGGTAATATTTAATTACTAATTAGTTATCTGAGGGCTGTCAGCATATCAAACTGCAGTGCTTGAGCAATGGGTGAGCTACATCTTGCGTCTAGGTGCTATAAAGATTTTAATGACCACTGTAAATACTAACCATTAAAACCAGCTTTTAATGGGGAGAGGGTGGGGAGAGGGCAATGCAGAATGGAAGGGAGCCTCCATGGGTGTACCATCTCCGATTCCAACGCAAAGTTGGAGTAGTGGGAGGAAGAGCTGATCCAGTCCATGGAATGTCTCATAAGACAGCTCAAATTATACAGCCGTACATTTGGAAGTGTCATTCCCCCCTCCATTTTAGGCAACAACAGTTTTTTCATGGAGATTCTTGCACTCTTCCCCCGCCACATAAAAGCTAAGAACGCCTTATTTAAGATGGTAACATCCCTGTGTTTCAATAGGATAGGCAAGGTTTGCATTGGATACAGCAGTCTGGCAAATGAGACCATTAGTAGGCCTGGAATTATAGTTGTAAGTGGACTAGAGAAAAGAAGAAAAAGGGAATAGGGTAGGGATGGGCAGTGTTCTGATCGATCGCATGGTCCCGGAAGCAATGAGGTATCCATATCCCGCAAACATATTTCAGGGCATGTCTCCTCACATTCCAGCAAGGTTTGTGCCGATCAGTCCCTGTCTATATAGTTGCACTGTGACTCTACCCCAGAACGCGAGGTTAATAACAAACTGAGCATTCAGTTGAGTCAAACGGGGTATGCTGTGGTGCCCTGTGGTGGCCATTGCACTAGAGGGGGGGGGGTCATCAACATCCGATACGAACAGAGCAGATTAAAGAAGGGTTAGGGTATCGGGAACATCGGCCTGTGTTTCTCTTCCCCCAAAGACCATATCACATACCTTTCAGTAAATAAGAAGTCAGGAGACTCTGAGATAGATCACGGTGAATCCGAGGGGGTCATAGGCAGCCTCACTGCAGTTTTCCGGGCAGGAGTAGAGGGTCTTTGGGGGCGCGGTGTTTGGACGCCATCTGGAGGAAGAGCCGAGGATTCCATGCGGTCTAAAAAGCTGTAGGCCTCAGCGGGATCCTGGAACGATTTTTGTGAGCCGTCAGTTGATTGGAATCTTAGGATTGCTGGGTAGGCTAAGGTAAACCTAACTTTCCTCTGAAACAGGAGCGAGCAAGCCTTACCGAATGCCTTGCGTTTTTTGGTGACATCCGCCGAGTAGTCCGCAAATAAGAGGAGTCGATGCCCATCCAAGAAAAGCTCCTTCTTGGCGCGAAAGGCCTGGAGTATCTCCATGCGGTCATTGTAATCCAGATATCGAGCGATGACTTGTCTTGGAGTCTTCCGTTCAGGGTTAGCGGGTCCCACGCGGTGTGCTCTTTCTACCTTGCAGTTTGGGCTTAGTCCAAGTAGATCCGGTATATTATGAGCGCAGATGGACTGCAGTAGCGATGGGCGGTAGGATTCCGGCAGGCCAACGATCCTCACATTGTTTCGACGGGATCGATTCTCCAAATCGTCTATCCGTTCTTGCAGGGTTTTGACCTGCTGCTGTGCCGAATCCAGTTGTGATAGTGATGAGTCGACCCCCTCCTCTAGGGAGGTAATGCGGACTTCTGCTTCAGAGATCCTCTGGGCCTGTTGCAGGATATCTTGCCGAAGAGATTGGATACCTTTGGAGACCGCTTTGTGAACCACATCCTGTATGGTGGGGCGAAGCAGCTTCGCTACCTCTGCCGCGATTTTGCTGGAGTCTGAGGTAGTTGGTACATCATCCTCCGATGATAAACTGCCGTCTCGTGGATTAGGCGTCGCGGCCATTTTAGATTGATTTTGCGATCTCTTGAACCGTGTCGGTGTCCCTTTAGGGCGAGGTCCTGCTCGGCGTTTGGCTAGGAATTTATTCATATGCCCACTAGTCCCGTCGGGTATCAGTAGTTTTGGAAGGCAGGTGTGGGCCAACTCAGGTAAGCTGATGTATGATTTTATAAGCGGTTTTTGCCCTGGCAGTGCGGGAGCTCTTCACTCTGCGTCCACTACATCAGGCGCCGGAACCGGAAGTGAAAACCAGCTTTTAATTTTATAGGACCTTTTGAAAATAATTCTCTTATGATAACTGTATCATAACTATATGCATTTAATACATGTAATTATATTATTCTGTATATTAATTCCCACGTGGATGTCTTTGTTCATCCACGTTTACATGCACAAAGAGTATTTTTTTTCCCACCACTAATTATAAGGCCTTATAATTAGAGATGCGATGTGAGACATGTCATGGTGCTCATACTCTTGTTACCAGTGAAATCCTTGATCCTAAATAAATCTACTGAAATTTGAGCATACTATCTGTACTTATTTATTATAGGTATTTATATAGCGCTGACAATTTACGCAGCACTTTACATACTGCACATTCACATCTGTCCTTGACCTAAAAGAGTTCACAATCTAAGGATCCTATCTCACATACATACAGGGCCAATTTATACAGGAGACAATTACCCTTCAAGCATGTCTTTGGAGTGTGGTAGAAAACAAGTGTATCCGGAGGTAAACCCATGCAAGCACAGGGAGAACATGCAGACTCCTTGCAGGCAGTGTCCTGACCACCATTCAAAACAGGGACCCCCAATGCTGCAAGGCAGAAGTGCTACCACTAAGCTTTTGAATAGTATTTCAGTATGGCAAAAGTTGCTAAGTTGGCAATGTCCCAGAGGTGATTGTGAAGCCAAATCTCCAGGTGGCAATACATGAATTGATTTTTCAGTTAAATCTAAGGGGTCTATTCATGAAGCTGCCGAAGGATCTGGCCGTAGCTTCGGCCGATCCTTCGGCTAGCTTCGGCCCCAGGACCCCTTCGGTTCATTTCAGCTCTATTTATTTTGAAAACCTAATTCTCTCAACATGTTCATCAGACAAGCTTGTGCGCTTGTCCCTGACAAAGCCATCTGTTCACAATAGCCCGTACAGCTCCCGAACATGGCCGAGCCACCAAGGAGAGAAAACACAGATGTGTCTTTTTTTCTTTATTCTGACATGATCGATTTCTGACATTGATCGTGTCAGAATAAAGAAAAAAAAAGACACATCAGTGCTTCTCTCCTGGGTGGCCGGGAGCGGGAGGCTCCCAGAGCGCCTGGGAGAGTTTTTTTTCTTTTTTTTTTGACAGCAGCAGAGCCACCGAACAACAGGAAACTATTGGGGCGGAGCTAGCTGTCACTGCCAGCTCCGCACAATCGTTTGCTATTTATTTTTTTAACTTTTTTCACTGTTTTTCTGTTCTGCTCGGTACCTCTGAGGGACCGAGCAGAACAGCCGAGCCGAATGCCGCTCGGCGGCATTTGGCTATTCACTCACTGCTGTTCGGGATCTTTAAGAATAGCCCGAAGAGCAGTGA